CTCTTTGCCCGTGACCTGCAGATGCTTGGCTACCCGCTCAAGGTAAGTCCACGTAGGGTCTATCGTCGAGGTCGTGCCAGCGGGGTAAAACATGTATGTAACATACAGAATGTTGTGTTTGTGTTGGTCCTGGCCAGGCAATTGGTCGGCCCCAGTGCTGAGAGCATGGGCCCCCCCCACTGAATTGCGAAAAAAAATGGCAAAGGGTTCTGGTGTAGTTTGTTTCAATTGGAGACGCATATCTTCCCGTCTTCGACCAGTAATGCGTAATTGGAATTGCAGCTTCCAGACTTTTCATCCGAAGGAGCACTTGCTGGGTCCACTTGAGCTGAGATCGCTTCCATACCGTGCTCAGTACCCATTTTACGTTGGAGATTTGTTGTCCGAGGGAGTCGAATCGCAGACTTTCATCAGCGTAGAGGCTCCAGGTGTTGTCATCAAGGATTAATTACGACCCTCATTATTAACCCCTCATTCACCGGGCACATGTTAGGAAATGCAAAACTAGAAAACATGTCGGACCCTCCTTCAAAGAAATACTTTATTAAAGTAAAGGCGTACTAAGTACGAAAACAATTGTATTTTTTATACGTACGAGTGTGCGTCTTTGACGAACAACCTCCGACACACCTCCGACATGCATTGTGCTAACAGTGAAATTTTTGTAAGGAAAATGTTATTCTTGTCGGAGGTGATGACATGCATTACTACGTAGGACGACTACGCACCCAATCAGAATTCAAAACCCATGTCATTACCATATCTATAACCAATTAACCCAAACAGAAACTGCATAAGTATGCGAAGGCATCATGATTCATGAGGTCGTTTTGCACATATAACCTCTCAAAACCTCTCAAGAATGAACTCCTGCTCAATCCGATAGTAGAAGCCTACGTATGAGATCCAACCATCTTTTGCTGTGGAGCCAGAGTATCCATAACAGAATTTGAGCGCCTATACCGACCCTCTCACCATTTCGCCCCGTCGAACCATGGTCGACCTCATAACTGCCCTTCAAACGGAGAACGCCTTCCTCCGAGAGCTTCTTGTCCAAGCTAACGGACACATCAGGTGCCTCATCACTCAACACCACGCCGAAAAAATGACGCTACTGAACGGTCTGGAAGCGAGACACTCTGATGGAGATGCACACTAGTTTGATGGAGTCACTGGCGACCACAACAACGAATCGCGTCACTAAGGCTCCTCCTGGAGAAAAGGTGCATGGTTTTGCGCTCACGATCTCCGCTTCATTGCTGGGCAACAGGACTACGTGACACGAAAGACTACGAATGTACCTGCAAACGGTGTCCTCTTCGGGTATACGGAAACGGGCAACCCGATCGACTTGCGCCAGAACTTCATGCGCGAAGCAAATGCGCGTCTAGAAGCGAGAGTTCGTCTATACCTACGCGAACATCCGGTATACAAGTCTATATCTATCCGCCAAGTCTAACCCTTGTGATGATTTTTTGCGAAGAGTAGGAAGAGGAGATCCCAGATTTTGTCTTCAGGTGCTGCCGCTCCCGTTGGATTGACCACAAATCTTTCCGCTCGAAGAGGTCACGGCATTGTTGACTGAGCTGCTGGAGGAAACAAACGCTAATTTACGCTTAGGCCAAATGTGCACGGACTTTCTAGCCACTATATCAATGTATATTCGCACACAGCGATTTCGTCTTGACGTGCAACCGTGAAATATCGACTCATGCGAGTTGATAGCGTGAAGTACTAAACTGAGCTAAAAGTCTCGAACAATTGACCTGTTAAGTTTTTGAAATACACTACGTATTCACATGCCATGTGCAAGTATCCTGTCACCATGCACACACCTGTTTATTGCGCCGTGCCCACCACCAGCATCTCATTTTCCATCCTCCGTCATCTCAATACCATCAGCGATCTCAGTCGTCTCAGCCACCTCACCTATGAGCGTCACTTCCTTCGTCATCTTCTGCTTGACCTGTTGCTGTGGGCACGTCCGTCACCTATTCCGCCGTCTTTCCCTGCTTGACCTGTCGCTGTGGTAGCATCCGCCACACTCCCTAATCTCGGTCTCCCGTCGTCTTGGTCACGTCGGCATGTTCTATACTGTCGCCTGCTTTGGGTGCTTGGCTTGTCGTTTCTTGCCCGTTGGTTTTCTATACTGGAGCCGCTTGTCCAAATTGAAAGGAACGCGTGAGCCAAATTCTCAGTCTTCATGCCAGATAGAGAAGCAGGATTTTTTTACACCGAAAGATTCATGACGCACTAGCTGACAAAGGTAAACACTAACACAATAGCAAAACAAATGAGAAAATGATACAGCAGAAAGAACAAGTAGCAAAACCTTACTCCCCTGTGTGGGCTTTGGAGCAAGATAGACACAGCCACTTTGTGTTCTTCCCCCTTTTTCCTGGTGTAGCGAGCAAACTGCAGACCTTGCAGGCCCTGTGCATTCTCTTCCGACCGGGGTCGCCAACCTCATCTTCGGTTTCTGATGGGGTATGACCTGCTAAATTCCTGTAAATCCTTGTTGGCGGTGGGAGGCAAGATGCAGGCGGACTATCTCGTTGTGGTTGCTGAACAAGAAACCAGGTAAAACGATTTGTTACACGATATCGGCGTATAGATTGATTGAGGAAGATTGAGCTTACCAAATTCACCATGTCTGACTGGGTTACAGCTAACAGCTGGGCATGTAAAGTGGTCAGGAAGGCTGAATGTGCCTTCCGAGCATTGTGTAGTGTGTTCGGTGAACGACATACGCGTTGACAACAGCCATCTCAAGCAAACCGAGGAATAGACTGCATAGTACAAAGACATTAGTGGTAATCATGTGTAGTAAGAGTGTGTGCTTACGTACGTTTTGTAGTATTTCTTAAACGTGAATGCTATTTGCACCGAGTATCGTTGCAGTCTAAGCTGGTCGTGGACATCCACCCCTCCCATTCCATGGTGATAGTCTTTGACCAGCTTAGGACATGGGACCTCTGACGGCTCGCCTTCAACCCATGTGTTGCGGCCTACAGGCATCAACACATAAATAAGTTAGTAAACAGAATATCTACAAACATTTAGCTCAGTTAAATACTAATTGAAAACTCTTGAGTGCTCGCCCCAGTTGCAAGTAGATATGCCGGTTTGATGTCCCACCAACAGCACGCAGACATTGCCGAAACTGATTTTGACCGCATAATCTTGTATGACCCGCGTGGTACATCCTTCGGTCGTTTCTTTCGCTTGTCCTTCAGCTCATTGGGAAAACCAATGCGTTGTGTCTGAATCGTGCCGACGGAATATATCTTGTTCGCCAGCAACTCCAAGGCTAATGCGACCGAGGTATAGAATCTATCGATCACTACCGTGTAGTGAGCACGACGATTCTTTGGCAAAACTTTATTCATGCAGCGGAGCACAGCTGCAGGTCCAGATTTGTCATCGATTGTTTGCGGTCCACTGAGGTGAGCTTTTTTCCCGCAATACACTTCCAACCTGCAACGTATTATTTTAGACTTAGTTGAAATTCACAAGTAATCATCTTCATCAAAGAAATCCGTACCTCAAACAGCATGATGTCCTTAGACAACAAGTAAGGAACATCTTCGTTCCCCACTTGTGCGGCTTGTCACGCATGTAAGTCCGGGTGCCATTAAATTTTGAATGTGAAGGCAGCATCCCTTCATCAAACGATAGAACAGGGCCCGACGTATAGCCTTGGATGAATGTGGTTTGAAGCGTATTGATGGTGGGCCGGATCTTCCAGGCTCGATTCTGTTTGGCCATCGGGTCTGTGTTATCTGAGAAGTGGAGATGACGCATGATCTCATCAAACCTGGTGCCAAAATCAGAACGTTCGCTGAGTGTTATCTTTATGCCGTCTATCGCTTGTGTTACGAACCGGTTTCGCGGCATCCAGGCTCCGAAAGTCCCACTTGGAATTGCTCCAACGATCGACGTGCTCCAATGAGTCGATAAACGTCGCTTTTGGGGACACAGCATACGAGCAATGAGTAGCCCAAAATCAGCTGCGAACTCATGCGGCTAGAACGGGTCCATTTTGCGCAACCGCTGTCTAATTTGCTCGAGCGTCTCCACATCTTTCTACCGTGTTCCTTGTCCTTTACAAGCAACCTGTCGATCTCGAATTTTCCTTGTACGCGTTACCACCTTTTGGCGTGCGTATCGATTGGACTCGTCCAATATCGTATGCAACAGCGCCTTTGAAAAAAAGAACCAAAACAAGTTGATTGGCGAATCAGCGAAACGAAGAACGTCTTGTGTCGGTCCCCATTCACCCTGGTACAAACCAGGATATTCATGTTGTACTGCTGTACTAGCCTGAACTATATTGGCAACAGATAAAACAGTGAACAGTGATATAGATCAACAGAAAAAATGATTACCTTGTTCCCATCCTGTCATTTCCCATTCCTTGATCTCTGTTTTGTTTTTCGCCAGAGGTAATAGCGTGTCATCATCGTTGATATCGCGGCTCGCATCAGCCATGTATGCAGCGACGGCATCATCGCTCCAGTCTGCGGTGAAGTTTAGGGATGCCAATTTACTATCCTCAAAATCCGAGCTCTCGTCTTTGGATGGACCATCAGAAATCATTATTTCGAATTCACCCTCCTCATCCTCTTGACATACGTTTACATTACCGTTTGCAGCAAGTAGAACGTCGCGTTTGCGCTTGCGTTCGGATTCGCAGATGACTTCCTCCCGATCAACGTCACCAGATTCAGATTCATCCAGAAGCGACGCGATAAGAGCTGGTAATTGAGCACTAGATGTTGGTCCCGATACGGAGGCAGAAACTAGTCTCAAATCCGTCGATGATGCGTTTGACTATTCAGAAAAGCATGCTTTACGCTGCTTTCTCGCCGGTAGTCCCGATCTCCCGCTACAACTGCCGGTCACCATGTCCGAAGACAATGATGACGGTGGTGCTGTTGCTACTGTGAGAGAAGCATCCATATTCATCTCGGTTGTATTTGGAGTCCCACTCGGTATACCACGGGAACGGCTCGAACTAAGGCTTGTCTTGCGTTTGTTGTTGACCACTGTTGGAGTTGATGTTCTCGTGATGTCGGAGGCTGAAGATACTGTGGCTGCCCTTGCAGCCGTACGTGGTGTAGACTTCTGTACAGTGTGCACTGCACGTGCTCGCGGCTTACGTTTCTAGGGTCTCAAGCGGCCCTGACGTGTGACCAGTATCTGCGGGTTTTGCGGCAGTCTCTAGAGTCATATTAAGCGTTGCAGCCTTGCGTGCCAAATGCGTACGCGGCTTGCGCTTCATAGCTGCTGCCGAGGAGCCAGAGGCTAAGGAAATTATGCCCGTTTCTGCAGTCGTGCATAGTGTAGTGCCCATTCGGGTCGAACGAGCACGCAAGTTTTGCTACTTAGTCACTGTCGACGCAGATAATGTCGTGGTACGGACATCCGGAGGTATCGTAGTTGTACCTGCTTCCATACGTGGCGTACCTGACGCAAGCGTCAGAGCCGAAATTCCACGGGCCTTGGTCGTCTTCATTGCAGGTGCGGTGGGTGCAGTCATGGGAACAGTTGATGAGGAAGCTGCAGCTACCGCTGCATTCTCACTTGAAGGAGCAACCAGCAAAGATAAACTTTGTATTTGAGGGAACCCCCCCCCCCTCTCATCCGACGAGGCCCGAACCACCGTGGACGTCATGGATACAATACTCTCACTCGAGGTGATCGAAGCAACTTCTGGTGAGCATGATGTAGCTGTCGGCAGCCTTGGACTTCCCTTCTGAAAAAGGGTGGTCGCGTCCAAACTGGAGCTTGGAATCTCCTCATTCATGGTCGAAAATATATTACTTTGTTTTCCAGACCGGAAACAAGTGGCCTGGGAACTATTGTACCAAAACCATGGTACATCCTATCTGAATTAGTTACATCGTTCTCTTCTTCCTGAGCGCTTTGGGTGCTGATCTTTTGGCTTGCTAACAGTAACATTCTGTTGTCACTCTCATGCTAATAGAATACTCACTGATCTACTCTATTATGCGCTATTAGACTCATTACCGACACTTGGTGTGTTCGACGAATGCGTTGAGCTGCCTTGTCCCCGCAATTGGTTAGGGAACAAATTGGTGTACATTCTTAGCTTAAAAAAACATGTAAAAATACGTGATGTACAGTATAATTTCTCTCGAACGAAAATTGGGAGCTTTTCGTGTTAAAAATTTAATTAACCAATCATATTTCATAAATTTAATGTCCAACCACAACTCGAGGTTTGACATGTGAGTTGACGAAACGCTGTTGAAGATCATTTCGCGATGGAGCCGGCGGTGTGGGAGCAATGGCCTCACGCCTTCATGGAGACCCCCGAGGGCATCCGCTTGCACTACGTCGACGTGGGCCCTCGCGACGCTCTTCCTGTCGTAATGGTGCACGGATGGCCTGATCTCTGGTTCGGCTGGCGGGTGCGTAAATCCCCGAAATCCGTTAGCTAAACTGTATTGAATGCAAACTGTTTTATCATCAATTCAGCACCAGATCCAAGCGCTCGGTTCCAAGTACCGACTTCTAGTGCCGGGTAAATATAGACTTAATAACAAGTTATTCTATCTTGCTGACGGTGTAGTTATCTGCAGATGTCCGTGGCTTCGGTCAGAGCTCGACTCCGGCAAATGTCGAGGCTTACGGAGCCAAGAACATCTCCAACGACCTGGCGGCACTGCTGGGTTAGTCACAACTTCAACATATTGTAAACATTAGTATGTCGCAACTGTAACTTATACATTTGTTGCTATTGGTTCAGATGAGCTCAAGATTGCCAAGGCCGTGTTTGTCGGCCACGACTGGGGCGGAAGTCACGTGTGGCGGATGTGTCTGTATCACCCCGAGAGAGTCATCGCTGTCTGCGGAGTTTGCACGCCTTATATTCCACCGAGCAAGACTTACATACCATTGGAAGTGGTTGTGAAAAAGGTGCCGCAGTTCAAGTACCAGCAGTTCTTGGCCAACACTGACGTCTCCGGTAAAGTTCTTGATGCCTCGCCGCGTCGTTTGTTAACTGCGATGTTCCGCAAACCGTCGGAAATGGGTCTCAGAGCGTCCCGAATGTCGCTCCCGAAGATGTTGATGGCCGTCGACTCGGACTTAGACCACCCTGTGTTCACCCAGTGCTCGACACTGCTATCCGAGGCTGAGCTGGACTATTACGTCAAGCAGTACTCTATCAGTAAGTTCGCCAGTGCATGCCAAACGTACGCTACCGGTAAGATCGACTTTGAGAATGAACGTGGATTGTCGAGAGTGATCAAGCATCCAGCGCTGTTTATCGGCGCTGCTAAAGATGCGGTGCTCAAGCCTGAAATGGCGAGAGGTATGGCCAAGGTTATCCCAAATCTGGAGACGAGAGTCATTAAAGATGCCGGCCACTGGGTGCTTTGGGAGCAGAAGGAAGAGGTGAACGCCATCTTGTCCGAGTGGCTGGCGAAGATTGCGACCACCGCGAGCGTGAGCAATCTCAGTGCAAAGTTGTAAGATCCTCGTCTTCACTCGCTCCAATCTTAGTGTTTGGACGAGCTAAGAAGACTGGTCAATGGATTGCATTTCTTGTCTTGAAATACGTCAGCGAATCAATTCGATTAATGGCTAACTATAAATATTGTAGGACAGATCTAGCAATTGCCGCTCCTGTCGCGAGTGCCTTAGTACGTCAGCGAATCAATGAGGTCTGAGAAGTTCACGGGTCGACTCACCGAGCTGAGCGAATTACTCCCCTTAGCCTGATGACTTGACGCGAAATTGTTGACTTTCCAGCTGTATGTATGCCCATGATCACAATCCTAAGAGCACCAAAGTCTCAATTGCCCTACTTACTGTTAATCGATCAGCAGCACTTTGACGCTGCTATCGCTCAGCTCAGTTGTCAAGTTTCCACGATCTAATCAAGTTGACTCAACATGGCGCAGCCTCGCAAGCACATGGACTCGTCCGTATGGGAACAATGGCCACACGACTTCGTGACCACGTCCGAGGGTATCAAGATTCACTACGTGGACGTTGGTCCGAGAGATGCTCCTCCAGTCGTCATGCTACATGGATGGCCCGATCTCTGGTTTGGATGGCGGGTAAGTTTTCGTGCTAGATGTTGAGTTGAATAGCTTTCTTATCTAGATGTACACTGCTGTAGTACCAAATCCAAGCGCTGTCTCCGACGTACCGCCTGATTATTCCCGATGTCCGCGGCTTCGGTCAGAGTTCGACGCCACAAGAGCTGGAAGCATACGGCACTAAGAACATCACCAGCGACGTTGCCGCCTTGCTCGGTACGTCGGGACACGTATTGATTGAGTAGTGCAGTGGCTAATGATTAATTTATACAGACGCGCTGAAGATTGACAAGGCGGTGATTCTAGGACACGACTGGGGTGGAAATGCGAGCTGGAGGATGGCTCTTTACCACCCAGACCGTGTACTCGCTGTGTGTGGTGTGTGCACGCCGTTCGTGCCACCACGGAAGCAGTATCTGTCTCTGGAGGACCTGTCCAAGGTTATGCCGCAGTTTAAGTACCAGTTGTTCTTGGCAGACGCGAAGAACTCCGGTAAGGCACTGGACGCTTCACCACGCCGCCTTGCCACTGCTATTTTCCGCCGCAAGACGGAATACGGTCCAAAAGAGAACGCCTTGCCGCTGCACGAGTTACTCAAGGTCGTCAACACCGATGTGGACCATGTGGTCTTCAAGGAACGCACGGAAATGCTGTCTGAGGATGAACTGCAGTACTATATCGACCAGTACTCGCAGAGTAAGTTCACGAGCGCCAACTGGGTGTACGCGACCAAGAAAATCGATTTCGAGACGGAGAAGGACCTCCCGGGAACGATCGAACATCCTGCACTGTTCATCGGCGCAGCAGACGACCCTGTGCTCAAGCCGGAGATGGCCAAGGAAATGCCGAAGGTGATTCCGAATCTCCAGATGGAGCTGGTCGAGGACGCCGGACATTGGGTGCTGTTTGAGCAGCCTGAAGCTGTCAACACTATTCTGTCGGAGTGGCTGGCCAAGGTCACTAGCCCATGAGGTAGCAATTACTTGAAGTGCTTTACATGTACTTAGTATTAAACTTTGAAATGCTCCCTAGCAACTTCATTCATTTGTCCGATTGATGTGGAAATCAACGACAGGTTGAATTGTGAACTCTCGTATTTCTTTGTTTGTAGACGCTCCAATACACTTATTTTGCATCAAGTAAATACCGAATCGAAGTAGAATCGTGGATCACGATTCGTGATGAACTAGATTCGTTGTGCAATGATGAGTCTAGGAGATATACTTGGGAAGGGATGGACTGATAAAGATATCGTTTTCGAATTGAACCACGATCCGTATTGATGTTCCCATTAAATCTCTAAGTTGAGTAGTGTGTTAGATGCAAGTATTGCGAGAGATCGTTCGATTTTATCATTCGAGTTGTATGAAAAACAGATCCATCCTCAAGTACCAAATATTTATTCGTTAAATCAAAAGATATTTTCAAATCGATCGAGGAAGTCATAGCCACATTGCATTATCTTCAAGGTAGTCATGCAATGTGTCTATGATTTCCTCGATCGTTTTAGTAGTTATGAATAGGTAGTACCTTGCTCGTACCACCGCACGACACATACATGTATCAAGAAACCAGAGGTCATTCAGCTCAATATTAAATTGAATTGCAATGGCAGTAATAAGACTTTAAATATGAACTCACCCAATAATATGTGTAATAATGACCATTATTAATACATTATAATTACTTATTTACTTAATTTCTTGTAATTGTTTTAAGTAATAAATGAAAAAAAGTCAACAGTCGAATACCGACGGAAATTTTTTGGTGACGGACATGGCGTTGTGGAGTCACTTGTACCCATTGTTCTGAGTGCGTCCACGTACACGACCTTTTTGGCTACAGACTTATGTTGTAGAATAGAGTGAACCCACTGTTTGCTTCAGCGCAAGTTGGGTTGGCCGCGTACTTTGCCTGGTAACTCACTCTACTCACGGGCATGCTCGCCCACTGTGTATCCGACATCCAGACTGCTTGTAGTGTGCATGCACCCCAGACCCACATGACAATTGTCGAAGGGTTTCAGTATCTACGTTTAGCCGGAGAGTTACTCCATCCTACATCCTGCATTTAGCTTACAGCACGAAGGCATACATAGACGACAGAGTCAGCACTATAGCAGCTGCCCCAGAACTAATCACCAATACACCAACCCACTCGTGTATTTTCTTGAAATCAGTCTATCTGATACCCTTTATTTCACACTCGTCGATCTCACTGGTTTCTGGTGGTCAAGGAAGACCTCGCAGTACGACTCGCCTTCGATCAAGATGATGGATGGCGTCCTGACACTATTCCAAAATAGTGGCAGGAAAAGGATCGTTCAAGGTTGAAGAGTCGGCGATAGTGACATCAAGGGTCTTGCGATCTGGGTCCAGTAGATCTGGATCCAGAGGGTCTTAAGTCAACATCGCGATCTCGGCCGGCATTGGGGCGGCGAGGCGATCTCGGAACGCAAAGGTGACCAAGGCCTAGAGGACATGGAGTAGAAGTCTAGGCTACGAAGAGTAAGTGAAGCAAACTTGATGAGTGTTCAAGGTGACGGGAAGAGATAGCGTCAGCAGCATATGGCCGGCTGGTAGTCGTGATGATAGAGATTTAGGATGGGACCTCCAGGCTAACACATTATCAGAACCGAATTTGCATTGGAGAGAACTAGTGCCTTCCCTGCGGCGAAGAAGAGCAACAACAAGCCGCTTGCAGCGTTAGGATGTCTACGGTTAGTGCACTAATGTTGGTTATTAATATCTGGTTAACATAAGTACCGGATCTAACCACCTAGAGATCTACCCTCATGCTCAGCTCCCAGATCACCAGATATTTACTACGCGGACGGGCGCATTCTTGAAGCATCACTACGTCAAGATCCCGCTATATGAAGCGGCAAGTACGTGTAAAGGAAGCCCTACAAGGCAACGCACCCAAACCAAGACAATCCTACGGCCGGATCCAGATCAAGCCCGCCAGATTAATCGCTTAGGACTTGGACTTCTACGTCAGCAAAGGGACGAGCTTCCGCTCTGCTCCACAAGTCTTGCCAAGGTATTCAAGCCTTCACACATTGCACTTTTGAGTAGTTACCGGAACACCAAGATCTTACCCATACTACCGGGTACACAAGATGAGGAAGTTCAACACAAGATCACGGCTCATCGGGGGACTGCTCTGTTAGTCGGTAGTCTGGACCAGGTGGGGAGAGGGAACCAGCGATCTTGCGGATTTCGCTGATCCAGCTACACCACACACATTGGGCCTGGTGGCAGTGTTTCCTCGACCAGCATACGTGCCACGGCGCTGCTCTTTTCTTGCCATGGTGCCGGATTTTGGATCTGGCTAGTGGAGTTGGTACTGGGCGGATAAATGCACTCGCCGCCATCACCACTTAGTCTGTGGGATTCGTCGTCTCCGTAGCATGGCCACATTATGAAATATCCGCGGTCGAGATAGGCGCACCCTCGCTGTTCTAGCTGTCGCACTATTAGTAGCATCCATAGCGACTGATGTAGTGAAGCTGGGCGAATTAATTTAACTTTGATCATCAACCGACCATTATTCTCCAGTTGTGGCAGCTTCCGGTGCCTCTACGGAGAAATCCTCGCTTGCAACAGGTTGTTGGACTGTAGGTTCCACTTTCGCAGTGGCGTTGACACTATTATCGCCGTTCTGGTGCTTACTGTGGAAGTTATCCGCTGATAACGACAAGACGGACTAGCTAGATTAATTAGTCAAACAATAAAAAAAATTCTATTGAGTAATGTACCCTGGCATATCTGACTGTTCTCGTCGGCATCTTCTGGAACGGTGTCGTCTTCTGGGGGTAATGAGAATGATTGAAGCAGTTTGTGCAGTTACAGACTGTAAACATCTGTTCTAGAAAGCAGTATAGTTATATATATCCTCGTTTGCAAAGTGCACTTTAGATCCTGAAAACTTGTCCTGTGCTCGTCAGCCTTCCAGTATTCCACCGTGTGATAGGAGCAATTTCGCGGCAAGTACGGACGCAGACCGCGGATAAACGAATAGGTCAATCTAAATATGCAATGCACCGATATCCTCAATTGCCTATTGTGTACCAAGGAGATTGTTTGATTGTCGTCGGCATCTCTACCTGTAAATCACTGTCTTCGCGGTGACTAGGAGCGGGGCAATGATCTCCATATTAGAACTCGCTCTGGTCGCCACCTTTCTCGCTAACATACCTCTGCTGGCCTTCTCCTCGCGTTGACGTCGATGCTTTCGAAACGCAGACTCAACCGCTTCGCAAAGGGGACCGGTGATAGCCTTATTGAGAGCGCTGGTCCGATCACGGGGTGTCAAACATTCTAGGAACCAGGCTATAGGAGTGTTGGTTGCACCACAGATCATACCTCGTCTTGAAACTGTGCCAGAATCTGTCGGTGATGTCCCTCATCTTCATGCCTAGTGGAATTGGCTCTCCAGAGTCTACCATTATAGAGGATTCCACATGGATGTAGTGGTCAATTCACAGGGTGACAGTTAGGTGAAAATCGCGCGGGTTCCCAGCACAAAGAAACTCAAGTGATGCTCTATGGTGTAACCGTCACATAGGAATCCATAAGGAATCACCTTAGTGCTGAGACCAGGCATCGTCGGGTTGTGGATGCGAGGCTTCGCGGCAGGGCGAAAAACGGATTTCTATCTGGCTCGCGATCATCACTAAAAAAATTTAGACAACAGCGAGCTACCGCAAAATGACGCAGTAAGTTGCGACCAGATGGAGGAAAGATGTACAAAATTGGAATGGCGTGCTGAAGCCCATCCCGTACGCCGAGCTCAAGCACAATATCGACCAAACATGTTCGCGGTGAGATGGCAAATAGCAAATTCATTGGTTACAAAGGATTACCTGAGGGTGGTGGGGCAAGGAACGAGAAGGTTCTAAAGCCTGCCGAACGGTATCACCCACCACCACCAAACTAGTTACAACTGCAACAGGCCTCTGGAATTTTGTATCACATACCTTGTATGTTCTCGAAGGATAATGATATTACGGATTTACTAGGGATCACCGTGGTTTCATGAAAGTCGAGCTGTCTGGCCCAGACTACATTGCCGTCTACGTTGACGACCTGTTAATTATCGCCCGTATCTCGGCTCGTATAGTACGAATTACATCTGCTCCGAAATAACCCTTTCAGGTGCCAGATTTAGGGGATATGAAGTATCCACTTGGCTAGTCGATTGAGCACTACTGCTCCAACAGGACAATATCTTTAGTCACCACGAAAAGTTTTGCAACAGAACAAATTGGAGTGATTACACCAACTCATGTCACACCTGCTAGTGATTCCATATGACCCTGATATACACGTATCTACAAAGTATCCCGTATAGCGAAGCTGTGGACAACATTATATACCTTTAAATGACCAATCGCCCAGATTTGACATATTTTGTTTGAGAGATTAGTCAAAGCTTGGGAAAGTATAGCCAGTTCCTTCATTTACGATGTCAACTGGGGTACGGAAATCTACACGGAATCCATACTTTATCCAAACTAAGAACCAATGGATTTTGCGCTCGGATTTTACTTTGCCACCTTCTTGGACCTTTTCTTCTGATAAAAGCCTCTTCAATGCTGTGCACCTTGCTGATACGCAATGGATCAGACCTTGGTGCCAAAGCGACCAGTGGAAGTGTCGCCCCTAACCCGTAGCCCAAATCGATGTCGAGTGTCACCACAGATCGAGAAATAAAGAATAAACAGAATCTCAAAGCAGAGATGGCTGAGAAACTTTAAACCATTGTCCAATTACGGTTTCCTATCAAATTTAATAATAGTTGAATATAAATTAACAGAAAGTATACGGCAGGTGGAGGGAGGGTGTCAAAACTGCAATCAGCATACCAATCTTGTAATTAAGTCAAAAATCTATCACGACATGCCCCAGCTGGTAATACCTTCGTAGTTTCATAACTTGTAGAATTGGTGATTATGGTGATGCCGCAGCCACAGATGTTAGCTCTGGTCAAATGCAATCACTTCGGTTTCTACTGCTTCTGGAAGACCCTGTCCGCTTTCAAGACCCCCTTCTTTCCCCTCACTTTCTCGTCACTACGCCCCCAGTAACAGATTCTAACGTTTCCTTCCCCAGTATCACCAAACTTTAATCCTCACATTTCAATGTAAATCTTGCTAAATAATCATATGAACCTGAATTTTCTTTAGAACATCATGATGAAACAATCTGTAATAATCAGTACAAACTAAGTCACAGCTTCTGTCTGTGCTTTGTCCGATGTTTGGTGCCGTGCTTGGTATGAAGACAGGTAGGGGGTGAGATTTGAAACCTTTTATGTCTGCAAGACGTGTTCATTACCGTACCTTTAAAGTCTCAACAAGGAATGATAAGATCCCCCAGGCTATTTATGCTGTGAAAAGGGAATCACCCCAAGTTGGACATGAGAATCGAAACTCACTTGGCGAGCTTCAGAAACCGAATCACTTTGAATCGGTAGCGATGATTAAGAACTCAGTTTCGGGGAAATGTTTATTCGTTATCTTCGGCAGTAGCGTTGGGAGGGCTGTAGACGCCATCAAGGCTGTCGTGGTAAATAAACAACAAGCAAGATCACAGTGCACGTGCTATCAGTGCTACAAGCGATGGGCAAGAATAGACATTCGAACGGCCTCAGTAAATCTCCGAAGCCCGGGATCAATTACGATTTACCTTCCTCGACCGGTCCACTCACACTTGATTTCAGTTCTTTTGATTTGTCAATCAATCTTTGGCCGCATGTCCTCCAATAATGATTTTGAAAGAATGCAGCTAAGGTCGTTGGGAATCGCTTTCGCGGCAACGTCATACTTTACCTTCGCAACCAGACACCGTGCTAGCTTGAGGGGGGGGATCTACAGTCTGGTGCAAAATTATAGCCGCATCCGAAAAGTTTAAAGATTGAGATGAAAAAGTTATTTTCGGAGTTGTTTATGGTCTTTGTTGTAACGCGTATGATGGTTTAAAGTAATATGCCGCTGGATTTTGCAGAAGAAAGTTGCATTCTTAAGATACACGAAAAAAGCTTTTTTTTGGACTGGTGCAGAATTATAGCCGCACTACCTTCAATTCAAATTAGTAGTCAATAGGGGCCCCTCGACGCAGCACTACTTGAACTATCCGTGTTGGCATGCTCTTGACAAGCGTTTGAATGTAGTCCTGAGGAATTTCTTCCCAGCATTTCAGGATACGTTGCTTCAACTCAGATGCTGTGTCAAATTGACGTCCTCCGGCGTATACTCGGCGGGCTAGCACACCCCAAACGTTCTCTATAATGTTCAAATCGGGACTTTTAGCTGGCCATACCATTGTAGACACCTCTTCTTCCCGAAGGAAGTCCTGGGTCCGGCGTGCTGAGTGAATGGAAGCATTATCATGCTGGAAAATAGG